ATGGGGTTATAATGGGTTATGATGATACAATACGATAGGAGCTCTCCTTAAAGCTCCGGCTTGACTTGGCTGGCTCACTCCAGCCTCGTTAACTTGATTTGCGCGATCGCAGTAGGCGAGGACGGGCTGGGAACGGATCCCTGTCGAGCCTAGAGGTATGAGCACTAAGGGCGGACCTTATGGAATGCTGTGTGTACACTCTCTGTCTATCCTGCTCTGATGCGCGTCTCGAGGTAGGGTAGGATCACAGTCTTGTTACACCAAAACAGTCCTATCAACCCTCCTATGATTATATTATCTTCAATAATATAATGGTCTATACGCTCACGAAGAGTTGCTTCGAGAGCCAAACGACAAATGTTTGGCCTCTTCGCACTCGCATTTATGGCGAAGCACCGACTGATCCACGCCGGGCCTTATCACACCCGGCCCTACCCTGGATGCGTAACGCTCATCCAGCTAACGACAGATGAACGACAACCTAACATCCTCAAATCACAACGGAAAGCGCCTTATACGCTACCCAAAGTCTCAAATAAATCAACACGCGGTTCGCCTTACTACCTTCGGTTGGCTTAGCCACCTGCGGATAGCGACTAACTCGGTCGTGGCACGTAATTTGTGCGCTCCAGATGTTTTGGCGTGACAGCTGTCACGCCATATGACGTGCTAACAGACATAAGAAATGCGGATGGATCACTCCCCCCCCCCAGCTCATGCGCGGATTGCGCTGGGTGAGCTGGCGGTAGACCACCCAAAAAGGCACTAAAGTAACTGAACGGCGCGCGTTGTGTCCTTAACCAGGGCGCGCTTCCACATAGCATTGCTGAACACAATCAACCAAAACTTACTTCCTACTTGCAAAACACTCAAACGGTCGTCCCGTTGCACAGCACGGAGCCAATGCAAGCGTGCCGGATCCGCCTGCGTGATATAAGTGCGCGGCACAGCAGCGATGACAGCTACCTCAGCATGCTGACATGCCACCGGCAACACCACATCCATCACTTCCTCAGAGATATCCAACCCTATGATTGGCATGGCGATTCCATCAGAAAGAGCCTTTGCAAAACTCTGCGGCTGGGCCGCGTAGAGGGTTGCCTTGTCGGGCATATACCGAACGGTGCAGGCACCCTCCCGCAACTGCTGCATTGCCTTCTCATCCCACTTCCAAGGGATAAACACTGATCCCACACAACCAACTGCGACGGCTTGCGTTAGAATGCTAACATCCTCAGCCCTCACAAGATCCTTCCTCATGATACCTTTACATCCGGCGGTCACCAATGCCTTTACTTTGCTTGGACTGTGCTCTCCCGGCATCACACGGGCCAAAGCTTGGCTGACCCCCTTGGTCGTGTGAAGCTCGAACGGGCCCGAGCACGGATGCTCCTTGGCCTCAGAGATTCCCGCCATCACTTTCTTGGCAGAGGGGCGTGTAGGGGCTACACGATTGCACAACTCGCTCACACTAACCACCTCAACGTCTCCATTGTCGTACACCACCTGAAACACGTGGGACCTTCCCCTGCGGCCAGCATACGATGCTACACCCAGCGACCGGGTGGTGCGACGCCCTCTTCCCTTAGACTCTCTCATAACAGCCACGCCCTGGAGGTCGCGCAGGTACTTGGGTGGCTCGGGAGCTGCACCCCGTGCAGGTTCGGACGACTTCCCTTCCAAAGCTTCAGCACTAACTCCTTTCGACTCACACTTTGGGCAAATCCATGCGCCCTCCGGTATCTCCTTCAAAGGCGGCTTAAGACAATAAGTGTGCCATCCAGTGCCGCACGCATCACATAACAACATCCATTCTTCGGG